ATTAAACAGTAAATATTAAAAACATTTGGTTATTTTAAATTGCCTGTATTTCTTCCAAGTCATTAGAAGCATCTCTTCACCTGAAGCAAAATAATTAACTTTTCAATCATCACATTGGCTGTAATTGTAACAACCATACATCGAATATACTTTCTGCCATTAGGGAAATAAAAAATGGTTTTTATTAGTATACTAACATGTCAGTAAATTGCAATGTAGTGGGGAAGGATATTTATAATTCTGAAAAATACAAATTATTCACTATCATTAAAACAATTACATTTTATTACTTTCAAACGGCATGAATTATTTGGGAAATTATTAAGACTGGAATTACTGACTTTATCATCCACTTGGTTATGAACTCAGCAGCCTGCGACCTGGCGGCACCACCTTGGCCCCCTGTACATGTCGGACGGCAGGTCCCCGTCCCCATCTCACGTTGGCATGTGCTCTGCTGGTTCTCATAGACCCAGGAAAGTACTGGATTCTTGCCCCAGACTGAAAGCTCCCTGCAGGCAAGGCCCATTTCTTGCTCCCTCTTTAGATTCCTAGAGATTAGTACAGAGTGCTCAGTGAACGTCAGGTGAATGAATTAACAAACATACGGAGAACGTCATGAACAAATAACATTATGGATGTTCATTTCAAAATGTCAGCTACAAAATTCCCATGGATGAAAAGCATTAATAGTGTTCTTAAATACATATTGTAACTCCAACTATTAGTAAAGTCCCTCTGCATTTCAACAGCCACATAGAAGCCCTTCTACACAGCAACATCCATTTGGCAAACTCTAAGGGGCCGGCAACCCCTTCTCTGTCCATTTCTAATGCATTAGCCAACCAAAATGCAACACTCGTTGAGATTTAGGGTACGCTCTACACACGTAAGTAGAAAATCAAACTCGAATTCCAACTCTGCCATTGCTTGTCTTGGTTTGACTCCCACAAGTGCCTGCGAGCTGCAGGATTGGGAAGCAGCAGAGCGGCTGTGGGGGGTGGGCAGGATTGGAACCTGCACAGACGCCCCCGAGCTGTGTATTAAGCTTCTACACAGAGACGCTTCCACGAATCTGTCCTCTGGGAGTGCTCAAGGGGAGAGGCCCAAGCAGGCAACTCTCCCCGTGCCCCGGACTCACAGGGAGCAGCCTCACCTGTCTACATTTCTAAATGTTTCCAGGAGAGATTTTGAGAGAAGAATCTATAGCTAAAAATAAAGCCTGAAAAGCACTGTTCTAGAAAAGCCCAAAGAGGTGTTGTGTGCAGAGAGAAGCATTTATTGAGCATTTACTATGTGCTGGCTAATTTTAAAGCATTATAATTTCATTTAACCCCCACCACATCTTTATGAGATAGAGAAGAGTTATATCCCAGTTTAGAGAACAGAGAACTGAGGTTCAGAGAAAGGAAACCCCATAGCCAGCCAGAGCCAAGAGCCCCGTCACTGAGATTCCAAAGCCAAAGCTGTTCTGTGAGCCATCGTCCAGCTCTAGAAGTCTCTGTGACCTCCCAACCTTCTCGCCTCGAGCCCCTGCACGCTCCTCCCTTACATTTTAAGCCCACTCAGTCACCTAGTCATAGATTAGTTAACTCGTTACCATCCCGTGTGCAGGGACTTTCGTCAACTTTCTGCTTCAGTGATGTCCATGCACTAGAGTCATTTCTTGAGCATCTCACAGACACCGGAACTGGGCGAGGTCCCAGGTCCCAGGTCCCAGTATCTTACACTGTCAGTGTAAGATACTGGGCTATAAGGACAATAGACACCTTCCGGCTTCTGTTTACTGCTTGTTTGCTGACCGCAAGGCATTATGAGTATATTATGGGATGCAGAGGAAAAAGACAAAGAGAGCAGAAACCTGAGTCTCTCAGCTAGGACCCGGAACAGGTTAGGGCCTATCAGGGGCAGGCTAAAGTAAAAATCACTGTGGGGGCAGATGCAAGACCAGTGTGCAAACAACTGAGTTATAAAAGGGGACTAACACACAAAAGAGGGTCCCTGCCCGGAGAAGAGGCCACTGCGCTGGCACTCTGGGGGCTCGGACCCTAGCTGGAGCTAGACAATAAAACTCCTTTTGGTAATTACAGCCTCGGTGACTCTGTCTCTCTGTCCTGCGGCCTTGTGAATCTCGGATATAACATCAGGACACGGCCTCCACCATCGAGGCACTCACTGAGGAGTGCGAGGAAACACAGAGCCGATAAAAGGAAATATTAAAGAAGGAACCACCGCCGTCTGTGCTGGGAACAGTGCGAGGACAGGGGTGGTGGGGCAGGGAGAGGGGACAACTGCTGTCGTCTTTACCGTGAGTGTTCAGTGACATCTGTGGCTGGCATGTCTCCTGGTCGTAGTGGAACAGAGCCCACCGCCTGCAGCACTGCCCAGGCCCCGGGAGGAAAGGGCCCAGGTGCCAGCATGTGCCCTAGTCCCGTTTCCTCTTCAGTCCTGGGGGCGAGGGGACTATTCAGATTTCTCCTCACTGTCCCTGAAGAATAATCTGACTTGAAATACATTTAGACATTTAAAAACTCGACTCCTAAAAGTCATTCTATCCCTTGCCTTCCCACTTAGATGTTCCCGTCCTAGCCGAGCCGAGGAAAGACGCTGCTCTGCTGCAGTTTCTGACTCTCTCGTGTTTCTAGGTGAAATGGAATATGAGCGTTATACCTACCCTGCTCTTATTTTCTAATCCAATAACAGCCCGACTACTGAGCTCGAATGACAGCGGCCAGACAGGTTAATGCCCAAGCATTAAGGCAAAATCCCTGTGTCTCATCCCTACAGACTGTCTCAAATCACTTAAGTTTCCATTTTTCTTGAGCCATCCAACATTTTCTCCCCAAATTCCTGCCTTTCAGAAAATAAACAGTGAAAACAATTGTCATAGTCATAAAGCACCGATGAGAGCAAAATGCATACCGCAGAGCAAAACTCAGCATATGTGAACACATACATAAATGCCACTGAAAAGCAAAGTGAATAAAACGCAATATACGAAATAGCACAGATACATAACCAAATGCTGTCAAAATGCACAAATTATCCTAGCTCCGGAAATCTATTTGAAGACAATAATTCAAATGAAGAAAAAAGCATAAAAATGCTTTCTTGTAATACGACATGTGACAACAGAAAATTAGGATGGTGATGGAGGCATGGCTGAGTGAATTATAGGCTATTAAAAATGAGCATTATGAAGCCCGAGTAAGAGCATGAAAAATGGTACTGATATGTCTTTAAGTTTAAAACAACATAATTGGATATGTAATATGACTGCAATATGTAAAAATAATTCTGTTTGCATAAGGACCATGAAATCATGGGCTATGTTTTAAAATGTTGCTAGATGTTATAATGTTGTCTTTACAATAAAAAAAAAATTCAGAGGAAAACAGGTAATGAGTCACTGCCTGACAACTGTCACTAAGATGTAGTGTCCCTTTGCAGGGAAAATGACAGACAGGTGAGCAGGTGAAATGTGAGCACAGATGCCAGGTTCATCTCTCTTAACCCAGTTTTTTATTAATGTTGATCTTTCCAGAAATTAAAGTTAATCTAGTCAGCAAATTGCAGTTTGATTTTACGTGATTGCCAACAGGTAATTAGTAAATACTGAAAGATGCCAGAAGTGGGATTTGGGGGTGCACTGCGGATGGGATGTGTGAGCGGAGGGGGCTGCCAGCGGGAGGGCTCTCAGCTGACAGGGACAGAGACTGATTTCCTAACGTTCAAGTGTGGGGTGTCGGCGATCTTAGCTTCTCAGTGCAAAATTCAGAAAGCACCCAAGGTCCTGCTGGCCCTGCCTGCCCCGCCCTCTGCCCCCCCCCCCGTGCACCCCAGTCTCTGGTGCCCACGGTCCACACGGCTGGAGCCACAAGACCACCGCACAGATGCAGCCCCAGCTCTGTCTCCACAACCGGCCCTGAGCCGAGGTCGATAGGGTGCTTTTTATATTTTTTATATCATATGCGTTTATTGAATTTTTTTGTTTATTGTAAAATATACATAACATAAAATGTATCATTTTAGCCTTATTGTTCAGTGTACAGCTTTGTGGCATTCGGCACGTTCTCATGGTTGTGGAACCATCACCACCCTCCATCTCCAGAACTTTGCATCATCTCATACTGAACCTCTGTCCCCATTAAACAGTGACCCCCCCCTCGCCCCCTCCCCCAGCCCCTGCAACCACCGTTCTACTTCCGTCTCTGTGGATCGGACTACTCTAGGTCCCCATGTAAGTGGAATCGTCTCTGTCCTTTTGTGACTGGCTTCCTGCACTGGCTGCACTGGGCAAAATGTCCTCAAGGTTCGTCCACGTGGAGCATGCGTCAGCATTTCCTTCCTCTTTAAGGCTGAATGACCTATTCCACCGCCTGCATATACCGTAAGACGGGGTTTTCAGGGGCCACAGCCCACCTCTCCTGGGATTACCATCAGGTCACACCTGTCACTGGCCCCGCCCTGACCCCAAGCGTAATTCTGAGGAATGGGCTCGCTCTCAGCGCCACACTGTGTCAGCCTTCACTTCTACTTCTCTGGCACCTCTTCACCAGGAAACCTTCCCGGGCTTCCAGCTCTTCTTCCCAGAGTCTAGACGGTGCATGCCCTCCACCCCAGGACCGTGTGCTCACGCGTGTCCAGAGGTCCCACCTGGGCCGTGTTCCGCCCACCAGTCGGCACGCCATCACCTCGCCAGCCATCCGAGACAGCAGCCGCCTGCCTAACCGCACGGCCCTGGCTGTGCTTCTGTCTACTCCGCCTCACCTGCCGTCAGTCCCTCTCTCCTTCCTGTGCAGGAGAAGGCTGGTCCTGAGAGACACACCTTCCCGGGGGACCTGTGTCTGCAGCCCGCCCAGCCCCCGCCCCCGTTCCAACGTTCTTGCCTTCTACTGCCCGTCACCTGCCACCTCTCCGCGACTCCCCCGTCCGTCCAGACCCTCGAACGCTAGACCCGAGACGCAGAGCCCGGACCGCACGGGTCCCCGCACACTCACAGCCAGAGCGAGTTCCTGCCTTGGGTGATGACGCCCGTGAACCTGGTGAGGCGCCTGGCGTCCACCTCGATCCACTGGTGGAGGTCGTTCCTCCCCGCGCACCACGCCCCGTCGTAGAAATCGTTCTCGTTAATCCCCGCCTGCAAAGAAAGACAGGGCGCTCTTCAGAAGGACTCTGAACCAAAGAAAATGCGGACACATCTTTGCCTGACACTGGGAGGAAGGGAGGGGCGATAGGAGAAGAAAATGAGGAAGGTGGTAAAGAAAATCTAATTGTGCCCCGAAGTCCTCGTTCTCAATCATAAAAGGGAGTTGCTTAGCATTAACGAGTTGGAAATATTTCCATGTGACAGGTCCTCCTTTTGCCCATGTGAAAGATGGAATTAATGAGCTCTCCTGTTACTCGTGCACCTAACACGCGCGCAGCGTCTCCCACACGGCGCCCACGCGCCGGGGGCCGGGGCTGCGAGGACGAGCGGCTCCTTCCCAGAACCTCGCCATCCGGCAGGAAGAAAGACAGGGGAGCAAGTGAATTGGAGCACGGTGCCGCACGTGCTGTTAGGAAGACTAGCACGTTGCTGAGGGAACATTTAAGGACAGCACAAGCCACTCAGTCTCGGCAAGACCAGCGTGACATTTGAGCTGGGTGTTGAAGGGTGTGTTTATCCAGCGAACATTTGTTTAGGAGTGGTTAAGTCATTTGATGTGTTCAGCAGCAGTTACTATTACTACCAAAAATTCTTTTTTTTTTTTTTATAAAGAGACTGAGTCTCACTCTGTTTCCCAGACTACACCACAGTGGCTCTTAACAGATGATCAGAGCTCGCTACAGCCTCGAACCCCTGGGCTCAAGTGATCCTCCTGCCTCAGTCTCCCAAGTATCTGGGACTAAAGGCATGCACCACTGTGCCCGTCCCCAAAATTCTTCTGATCTGAATTTCCAAGGTAAGGTTTCTGCTCTAGAATTTTCCCTCTATTATCACCATTTCAAGAGAGAATTGCCTGACTGTCCCTCACCCATGCCACAAAAAAAGGACATTTGAACCAAGTGAAGCAGCCTAGTTTACCAAGACCCTTTCTGCGCTTACCCTATTTTTCCATGGCTATTTCGCAAGGACGTGATCAGATGAGAAAAAGTCTGAATGTTCAAAATGAAGCCAGCCCACTTTTCCTAACTCTAAGCAGTTTTCAGCCCAAATTCTGGGAACAACATTACTTTTAATGGGCAAGGGAAATGTGAATTTAAGAGTCCAGCTATAACAGACAGACAACCTGGCCAAGGGTTCCACTAGCAAACTCTGTCCACCACTGCACCAGCTAACACAAGCCTTGCATCAGAACCAAACCCTCGTCTGTGCCCTCCCAGTCCACTCCTGAAATAATCTTGAAGGAACTTTGAGGGCAAATGCCAGAATACTAACATGTCACAGCCTTCCAGAAGTGCTACCATCTCAAATTAAGGTGAATAAAAAGAGCTATTAGTCAACACCTCCGGAACCCAAGCCCTTGATTAACCGGCACATCAGTGTCTCGATGGCACAAGCGTCTGTAATGAGAACCTGGAGGTGCTGCACGGCTCTGCCTTCCAGAATCATCAAAGAAAGGCTCAGTTTTGCAAGTGCATGTTTCCAGTGCTTTGGTGCGTTTAGTTACAGTCCGATTCTAAAGAAGCGATGGTGCCTCTCTATTAAGCGTAACGTCTCAGTTTCCCACTCTGCAGTCGAGGAGGTCACGGTAGCAGCTTGAAGGCTGTAGTTACCCAATCACTTCCTTTCTGTATTTGTTGGCAGTTATCCTCCTAATGACAGATATCTGCAATACATTAGTGACCTACGATATCAACTCATCTTTTCAAGAAACCATAACATGCATTTATTTTTTGCGGTGGTTCCTCTTTTCTTGTCAACAGCCCATCAGACTATTAGAATAGTCTGATGCATTCGGCACAATGAACTTTCACTGCGCCTCGACTGTATGTCAAATACTGGCCTAGACAAGAGGGAGGCAGCTGTGCAGACATCTGCAGCCTCATCCTCTTGGAGCTCAGAGCGGGCAGGAGGACCAAAGCCTACACGTGGCACCTGCGTCTTGGTCTGGTCATCTTGAAATCAACCACCACGCAGTGTGTTGGCTAAGAGTGTGTGCTCTGATGTCCCACTGCCAGGGTGAGACATCAGGGCCACTTACACACCATAAACTCCAGCAACTTGCCTAAGTGCTCTGTGCCTCGGTTTCCCCATCTGTTAACATGGGGACAAGGACAATTTCTCCCCCGGAGTGTTCACAGTGCTTACAACAGGGCCTGGCGCATAAAAACGAGCACTCCATAAATGTTAGTTATCAGAATATTTAAAACGATGAATATGTGATTAGCACTGGCAAAATGTGGAAATATGGGTGCTTTATGAATTATTTCGAGTTTTATAAAACGCTAGAGCATTACGGTACTATTCCAGTTCATTGCTGTCACATCTTTTACAACGTGACATATCCAGAACAGAGTTACAAACTCTGAAGACAGTGGAGACCTACAATCTAACGTTCCCAACAAGAGTCCGTGCTGCCCCTCCAGGGGACATTTGACAATGTCAGAAGCCGTTTTTGATGGCCACAACCAGGGGAGCGGTGTGCTCCCAGGATCTAGTGGGCAGATGCCAGGGATCCTGCCAAACACCCTAGTGCACAAGACAGCCCACAGCAAGGAACTGCCCAACCCAAAAGATCAACAGTGCCAAGGTCTACGGCTAAGCAGACAAGAAGAGAGCGGCCACATAGCCCGAGATATTTGCCTAATAGAATCATGGAAACCTGAAGGAAACTCTCCACCAAAGTCTATTGGCCACAATTAGGAATTTAAGGCTCCTGGGTTCGCCAGCCTGGATATTTTGCTTCTGCCACCAATCTTAGCTCTTTCTGAGCACACTAGACAATTAAAGGTAGGACAGTGTCAGGGGGTTGGATGGCCCTTCCTGAAGATGACTCACAGGGAAATGACAGCCATCTCTGCAAAATCAATTGTGAACTTAAAAAGCAAGTGCCTGGAAGAATTCAGTGAAAGAAGAGGTACCAGCCCCCGAGACGTCACCAAATTACACCCCAGTCTAATAAATGATATTCGTATGTGCCTCTGAGAAACCAAGAAAAGAGTACATTCATCTCTTTCTATTTAGTAATATAGGGAAATACTTGATAAATTCTGGAGCAATTTCAATTAAAAGTTGGTGAAATGAAGTTTGATTCCTGAAAGGATAACCTAGTCTTGCAAATACCACTAACGTAGAATAATTCTTTCTACTACAGTGCCAAATAAATTGAGGATTAATATAATTTTCTCAAGGTAATTAAATTTTATGCACTACTTTTTGCCTTAAAAAAAAAACACACCAATGCACTTAACAGACTCAATTTTGCTTCAGGTATGTGTGGGAGTTATTAAATCCATAACAAAGAGAAAGCCTGGTACTGTCCAAGATCAATCTAATAGGGTTTTTCTCTTTCAAGGTGGTGACAGAAACATATTAGTTTTTTCTGTGTTCTTCACCCAAAAATCCCCCCTAAACAAATAAAACAAGATGCAGAAATACAACTTCCATCTCTGATAAAACTATAAGACATTTATGATCCCCAATGTATAATATATGAAGACAGAAATCAGATGGACGAACTCTGAATGGCTCAGTGAGAAAAGGGGGTACAAACCCCAAAACAGCACAGCACCGAGAAGCAAGCCATAAGGGACTTCAGCATAGCTCTGAACCTGGTTCCAAGACCTTGTGGAAGGTGAAGGAGGCAGGACTGAAACAGAGAATTGCTTTAAAATATGTATTAAAAAAAAAATTAGATCCCCACATCCCTACCTTGACTCCACAAAGGACCTAAAGTTTTTCTATTAAAAAAAAAAGCAAATTCTAGAGACTCTGGGTTGGGGGACACCAGGCACAGAATAGAGCAGGTGTGCTGTGATGCATAAAAACAGGGACCTCGGCAGGTGGCAGCACGCTGCAGGACGAGCTGCCTCAGCTCCCTTCCCCACAGCTGGGGAGCACCATGCCCCCAGGCTTACAACAAACACGAGAAAATAAACATAAACTATATCAGAGAATAGAAAAAAACTCAAAAAACTATAATTAATATCTCTAGAAAGAAAACCTTGCCTTCATGAAACAAGAACAGGATATTCCATAAAAATAAAAGGCATTAAACAAGAAAGAGCTCTTAGAAACCAGGAATGGGAATGTGAAAGCTGAAAATTTTTAATAGTCAATAGAAAGACTAGAAAGACAAAATGAAGAAATCTCAGAAAAAGTAAAACAGAATATATTATAAAATAAAATAAGCAATAGAAGAAAAACAAGGAAAGCAGAGGAAGAAATCCAAAAGAACTTTAGGGGGAAACAAATCAACAAATAAAAGCTATAAGATAACCTCACAGATCTGAAAGTGTTATGTCTCCAAAACACTAAGAATCTAGTTCTTAGGGAATAAACTAAGACCCATATCAAGGCATATCATTGTGAAACTTTCGAACACCAGAATTTAAGAGAAGCCCTAAAAGCTTCCAAAGAGGAAACAAATAGCAAAACAAATACACAAAAACAAAGAAAGAGGAATGAAAATGGAACCAGAATTCTCAGTAGCAGGCTCTGAAGCCAGAAGAATGCCAGGAGAGTGCCTTCAAAATCCCAAAGGAAAAGATTTTCATCCTAGAATGTGACCCTCACACAAACTACCAATCATGTTGGTAAAATAAAGATATTTTTAGATTGATAGATCTTCACAAAATTTATTTCTTATGCACTATTGCCACGAAGCTACTAGAGGATGCACTCCACAAAAATGAGGCAGAACATCAAAAAATGGGAATATATTGAATCCAGAAATCAAGGGTTCCGACCAAGGAGAGGATTCTCAGAATGTAGGTGAAGAAGTCCCGAGACAGGAGCCACACAAGGGACCCAGGGAGTGGCGTAGTCAGAACTTGCAGGTCAAAGGGCTCCGGAAGGGATTTCCATCAGAAACATAAAAAACAAAGGTGGTCTAGAAATCACTGAACAGGCTTGGCCTCATAACAATTATATTGAAGAGTACTTTATAGACCCAGAACTATTATAGGAGAAGATTTTCTTAAAAATTTAAGCAG